CCGGCGCCCACCGTCCACTCTGTTCCCTGTGAATCTGGAGACTCTAAGGACCTCATGTGGGGGGAATCCTGCAGTACTTGTCCCTCTGTGTCTGGCCTATCTCACTCAGCATCACGTCCCCCAGGTCCATCCACGCTCTGGCAGGTGTCAGCGTGTCCCTCCGTGTTCAGGCTGAGTGACGGTCCGGTGTGTGGATGGACCACGTTTATCTGCTCGTCCGTCGACGACGCTTGGGCTGTTTCCACCTTTCCGCTGCTGTGAGTTAACACTGCTGTGAATGGGGATGCGCGCATGTCTCTTCAAGACCCTGCAGTCTCTTCTCTTGGGTACACTCCGGCAGCTGGATTGCTGGGCCGCACGGTGGGGGCATCTTAAACCCGGCTGCTCCGGCTGGAGCCCGGGGGTTGGCCGTGAGGGCACTGCTCCCCTCACCGTGGTGACACAGGGCAGGGTGAAACACTAGATTTTGCTAGTCCAACTGAGGCAAACTGGCCTCTTCTGGTTGTTTCTCTTTGCACGGATCTAATGTACTTCTCTTCACAAAGTTCTTGGCCATTTGGGTCTTGCCTTCTGTGATTTTTCCTGTTGGTGCTATTTGTCCGTTTTTCTATTGGACGGAATGCCTTCTTCTCATTTATTTGGAGGACTTCTCTACATGTTTTGCCTACCGAGCCTTTGCCGAACTGCAAACATCTTTGCTCAGTGGCTGGCTTCCCTTTTGCTCTGTCTCCTGAGCACAGAAGTTCTAAAGTCTGAGTTTATCACACGTAACTCCCATTCCCCTTACCATATACACTTTGGGATCTCGGTTAGGAGGACGGATACTCTTCCTTATTTCCGGCTAATATTCTTGGCATTTGCTCATGTTTAGTAAATGTCATGTTTCAATCTATCAGTGGACCTTAGGTTTTGTGCATGGAGTGAGCTGGAGATCCAATGTGACTTCTTTTCCATCAGCAGATCCAATGGAGCACAGGATGAGGATGGTCCCTGCGAGCCTGAGGCTGCTGCCTCGCCTCTCACTTCTCAGCCCAGCCAGGCCTGTTCTGAGCCTGGGTCGGCCAACACCACTACCTGTCCGTGTAGCTTTGTGGTAGCCCTTGGTGATGATCTCCTGTTTCTTTATTTCTAATTTCACACACACACTCAGTTCCTGGAATCCCCTCCCTGGGACTGTAAGACTAGGTTAGCTGAGGTCCCTGGGCCCCATGTGGGGTTCTGATGCTCAGCTTCTGTCTCATTGTGTCCCTAAACTTGAGTAATGTAGGGACCTTTCCAAAATGAAGCAAACTCTTAGGGATGTCCAGGGCTGTTTTTTTTTGGTTTTGTTTTGTTTTGTTTTGAGACAGAGAATCAAAGATAGTGACAGGGAGCACGAGGGAGATGAGTGAGCACGAGCAGGGAGGAGCAGGGGAAGTGGGAGAGGGAGAAGCAGGCTTCCCGCTGAGCAGGGAGCCCGATGCGGGGCTCGATCCCAGGACCCTGGGACCCTGACCTGAGCCGAAGGCAGACGCTTCACGGACTGAGCCACCCAGGAGTCCCCCAGGGCCAGTTTAAATTATTGTTATTACAGAACTACTTTTAAGGTCTTAAAAAATACCAGCTATAAAAAGTATTCAGTGTATAAAAAGTACATACAACAGGGGTGCCTGGTTGGCTCAGCTGGTAGAGCACATGACTTGATCTTTGTAAGTTGTAAGTTCAAGCCCCGTGTTGGGTGTAGAGATTACTTTAAAAATCTTTAAAAAAAAAAAAGTATGTACTATAAATCTAAATCCAACTTTCCAGGCTATCAGGAAAACAGGAAAACGCAGGTGGGAGCATCATCTCTTGGGACAGTGGTGTCCACCGGCGGAGCACTGTCAGAGGAAGACCCTGCCACCCTGGGGCACCACGGGGACTCCCCGGAGACCTGGGCTCTCAGCCTTCATACCAGTACCTTAGGTCTTCCTATCGCCAGCCCACACCACATTGTGCTCCGGTGGGCTTCGTAGGGCCCGGGTGGCTAGGTTATAGGGATGCAGAAGATGTGTGCGTTGGGGGGCCCACTTTGTTTTTCTCTCTAGCACCCCTTCCCTCCCCCAAGAGTGGGCAACTCCTCTTTGGGGACTCCCATCCTAGAATGTATTCTTGGCATGACCAGGGAGAAGAGCTGGCCACTGTCTCCGGACCCTGTCCTCCTCCCCAGAGATGGGCATGGGGCTAAGTGGGGTCCTCTACAACCTTTCTTCCTTCCCTGGGGCAGAGTGATCAATACCCCACAGAAGGCATGGGTGACAGGCAACTCTGCTCCCGAGCCTCACCCCAGCCGCTGCGGGTCAGTCCTCCCTGACTCCTGGTCTTCAGCCCCCCACAGCCCCAGCCCTGCAGCTCCCTGACCTCACACCTGGTCCCTGGGCCGGACAGGCAGAGGCTCCCTGTGTCCCAGTGGCTGGCCCTGGCGCGCCTGGACCTCTCTGTCCAGTGTCTCTGGTGCAGGGAGGGCTGCTGAGGACTGTCAGAGGGGTGGTGAACAGAGTGTCCACCACCCGCCAGCCTCAGCACAAGGGACAACTGTCCTGGCAGGAGAGCAGCTCACCTCCTGTGCTGTTGCAGAGGGTGTTACGCTGGCATCACTGGGACCCCTCCCTGCCATAGGGAAG